TGAAACAGGCTCCAGGCTCTGAGCTGTCAGCACAGAGCCTGACGCGGGACTCGAACTCATGGACCACGAGATCATGACCTGAGCCAAAGTCAGCCGCTTAACCGACTGAGCCACCCAGGCGCCCCATGAACTGTTCTATATCTTGATCGTGGTGCTAACTATACGACAGTAGGTGTTTATAAAAACTTACAGAACTATGCACAAAAAAAAGGTCAGTTTTACCATATCTAAAATTGTATCTCAGTAAGCATGACTAAAATCAAAAAAGCTTTAAAGAAGCAAAACTAGAGTGCCTGAGTGGCCCACTTAGTTAAGCGTCCGACTCAATTTCAGCTCAGGTCATGATCTCACGATTTGTAAGAACCTGCTTGGGATTCTCTCTCTCCTTCTCTCTCTGCCCCTCCCCCACTCTCGAAATAAAGAAATAACCTATTGTCAATTCTTTGGGGTATATAGCTAGGAGCGGAATTACTGGGTTGTATGGCAATTCTATGTTTAACTTGTAGAGGAACTGCTAAACTGTTTTCCCACAGTGGTTGCACCATTTTACATCCCCACCAGCAGTGTAAGAAGGTTCTAACTTCTCCAACATTTTCATTAATATTGTCATTTTTTTTTCTTATAGCCACCCTCATGGGTATAAAGTAGTATCTCACGATCATTTAAATTTGTAATTCCCTAATGACTAATGATGTTCAACATCTTTTCATGTGCTTACTAACCATTTGTGTATCTTCTTCGGGAAAAATGTCTATTCAAGTTCTTCATCCTTTTTTCAGATAAGGTTTTTGTTGAGTTTTTAAGAGTTCTTTATATATTCTGGATACTGTGCTTATCAGATATATAATTTATAAGGTTATCCCATTCTGTAGTCTTTTCACTTGATAGTGTCTTTTGTAGCACACAAATTTTCAATTTTGACGAGGTCCAATTTATCTATTTTTTCTTTTGTTGCTTGTGCTTTTGTTATTATATCTAAGAAACCACTGCAAAATCCAGGGTCGTGAAGTTTACCCCTGTGTTTTCTTTAAATAGTTTTACAGTTTTAGCTCCTACAGGTAGGTCTTCATTGTATTTTGAGGTAATGTTTGTAAATGATGTGAGGTAGGGGTCCAACTCCATTCTTTGCCATCTGGCCGTCCAGTTGTCCCAGCACCATTGTTGAAGAGACTATTTTTCTCCTATTGAATAATCTTGGCACCCTTGTTGAAAATCAATTGACCAGAGATGCATAGGTTTATTTCTGGACTCTCTTTTCTATTCTATTGGTTAGGACGTGTATCCTTATGCCAGTTCCACACTCTGGGTTACTGTAGGATTATAGTAAGTGTTGCAAACAGCGGTAAGGAATCTTCAAACTTTTTCTTTTTTGGAGAGTGTTGCTGTCTCAACCAGGTTAAACGTTCAGTCCATGAACAAGGAGATACACACACACACACACACACACACACACACACATACACACACACACACACACACACACGTGTGTGTGTGTTTATGTTTCCCTTTTTTTCTAGCACTTTTGTAGTTTTCAGTATGTCTTCCACCTCCTCGGTTAAATTTATTCCTGTTTTATTCTTTTTCTTTGCTACTATGTAAAAATACAATTAATTTTTGTGCGTTGATCTTGTGTCCTGCAACTAATGAGCTGAACTTTTTATCTCTAATGGTTTTATCCAAATAGGTTTTGTTTTTACATGTGACTTCATGTTTTCCCTATATGAGAACAGGTATCTGTGTATGAGAAGTTTAACTTTTGAAGAAACTGTCTCCCAAAGCAGTCATATCACTTTACATGCCCCCCAGCAGTGCACAGAGCCCCAGTTCCTCCACATCCGTCCTTACACTTGGTACGACCCACATGATACCCCATCACCAACGTACAGGGCAATGGACGGTTAGAAAAATTAAGTGACTTGCGCAGCCACCCCAAACCACCTTCTCAGCAGGCTCAAAGCACTGGCTCAGATCTCACCAAGTCTGTGCCCTTAGAGTCTCATTTCCCACCCACGGATGAGCAAACGGACACCCCAAGAGGTCACTGAGGGAGTGACTCTCCGGCCTTCAAGACCTGAGTCTGTTTTGTGTGGCCTGTCCCAAACCAGATCAGGGACCTCCTCTAGGATTCCACCCCCTTCCCTTGCCCTCCACCCACCCTTGCCCTACCCCAGAGCATCATGCTCTCCCAAACTTGGGGGTCCAGGAAGGCTGGGAGTGTTCCGTTTGACATCACAGAGCCGGTTGCCACGGGAGACGTGCAGACCCAGGCAGGGGAGAGCCGAGCCCTGCTGCACAGGAGGCCCAGCAGCTCCTCCCCCACCACGCTGGCCCTCCATGGAAGCCTTGGTCTGTGCGTTCTCTGAGCTGCGCATAAGAGAAGGTGCCCGGCTGCAGGGAGGAGTGGCAGGAGGAGAGAGGCCCTCCTTTCCCAACCTGGGCCCAAAGCCACCGGAGTGGCCTCAGGGACATGCATGCTTGGGAGAGGGCAATGGCCAATGGTCTAGGCTGTGTGATCCCACAGCGGGCCTGGACCCACTGTGCAATTTCTATACTGACACTAGAATGCTCTTTCTAGGCTAGGGGGGCAAAAATGGGTGGGAGAAAGGGCTTGAAAATCCTGAAAAAAACCTTTGTGCCACGGTCTCGGGCTTCTCAGACCTCCCTGTCGGATGGGAAAGGGAAGAGGAGTAACACGTTGGGTGAGGGTTGGCGGGAGGCAGAGGACTGAGCCTGTTTGGCGGACAGGCAGGCCGAGGCTCGGCAAGCCGCGGGTGGTGCCCATTACGCGAGCTGGCCTTAAAGCACGTGACTGTGTTCTCCCCTCGTGGCTGCCGCGGCCTGCGAGCCACCACCCTCCTGCTGTTCCCTCTGCAGATGCAGTGAGCTGGGCCCGAGGACATCCCAGCCACCCCGACACGCCACCCAACATCTACGAGGGGGGCCTGGGGGCCCAGCAGCAGTGCCCCGGTGCCCAGGGAAGCAAGCCCAAGAACTTCCGGCTGCGTCACCTCCGGGGCCTGGGTCTCTACCTGCCGAGCCACATGCAGCCCGCCGGCCAGGGTGAGAGCCACTGGCTGGGCCAGCTCATGGCCAGGGGCTGCCTCCCACCGCCCGAGGGTATGGCCTGGCCCCTAGACCTGCCACACGGGACTTTGGGCCCAGGGGACAGCCACCGCTCAGTTCTTCTGGAAACTCAAGTGCCCGGGGACAGCCTGGAAAATCCAGGTGAGGCAGGGCTGGGGACAGGAGGATAAGACCCAGAGAAGGGTTTGTTGGGGACTCAGATGGACCCAGATGGGCCCTTCTTCACTCCCGAGGTTCCTGGGTTCCTATCCCAGCTTTGCCTTCAATGAGGGACCTTGGACAACTTCATCCCCACCACCCCACCCCCAGCTTCAGTTTGCCCATTTGTAAAATGAGGGGGCTGAGTTAGACAAGGATCCTTCTGGCTTGAACCATCCATTTCCTTCTTTCTCCTCCCTTCCTTAGGGCTCTCTTTCTGGAGAACTGCTCCTCCTTTCCTATTCTGAAGAATGCCAGGTTCGGGGTGGGGGGTGCGGTGGTCATAGGATGGGCTAACAACCTCCCTTCAGTCCCTCTGAGTGATTCCTCTCCGTCCACTTTCTTCAGCTTCCAGTTCCAGCGTGGACCCGGCCAAGGGTGCCGCCTCCCAGCCTGGTCCGCCAGAAGGCTTGGGGCTCAGGCCGAAGAGGTCCTGGGGGGCCTCAGAGGAGTCCACATGTCCCGTGTGCAAGAGAACCCGCTCTGGGGCTCTGGAGAGACCATAGGGATCTGATGGCAGGACTGGCTGTCCCAGCTCGGGACGGGAGAGGAAAGGATGGCTCAGGAGAGGGAGGCAGGTCCAGAGAGGAAGGGCTCAGCCCTCACCAGGAGTCACCCCACAGAGACACCCCAGCAGCTGCCCAGCACCAGAGCCTGGGCCTCAGGAAAACTCAAGGGGGGGGGGGGGGGGGGGGGGGGGGGGGGGGGGAGGAGGGAGGAGGAGGTCCCGTGGGAGGAACAGAAAAAAAAGAGAAGCCCTTGCAGCCTGCTCCAACTCAGGTCAGCCACCTGTACGTGGGAGGCCAGGCTGATCCGAGACTTGGGCTCCCAAGAGGCTGGGAAGCCCACAGGTCTAATTTTAATAAAAGCCAAGGCCTGCACCTTCTTGTCCCTGGGTCGGTCTGTGGGGAGGTCAATGCACAGAGTCTCTCAGAGAAGCTGCCAGCTGCACTGACAGCAAAGTTCTGGGTTGATGCCAGGGAGGATCCAAGGTACTCCCACCCTTGGTTGAGGAGCGAACACCTTCTTCTGGGTGAGACTCCCAGAAGGTTTCCCGGATGGGCAAGGTCTCGACAGACCTAAACGCGAGGCGTGGGATTCTGGCCGAGGCAGCAGAGTACAAACGAAAGCAGGCCATGTGTAGGGAGCGTGCCAGGAAGAGAGCAAGTTCCCAACCTGGGCAGAGATGCTGGCCTGAACCCCACGCTGCTGCTCACCCAGGCCTTGGTTGAGTTCACTGCTCTGTGGGGACCCCCAGCCGTCCTGTCCCTCCAGGCAGGATGGGCACAGCCCTTCTCCCTGCTGGGCTGGACTCCAGGCACCTCAGCTTGGACTCCTCTGTACCAACGTGTGTCAGCATCAGCTCTGTTGACATTGGGGCCGGATCTTTGTCGCAGCAGCCATCCCTGCATCGTAGGATGTCTGGCAGCCTCCACCCACTGGATTCCCGTAGGACTCTCCTCCCAATGTGTCAACCAAGTGTCTCCAGTGTCCAGTGTCCCCTGGGGGAGACAGAATCACTCTGGTTGAGACCCTCTGCTCTACATCACTAGAACTCAGCCCAGTAGGGACAGGATGGGAGGACCTGGGTTCATCTCAATGCCCCCCGTGTGGCTGACTTCCAGTCCTGGCAACCCTGCTCGGGCCAGGGCTGAGCTCGTCCCACCATGGGCTCCTGGGTGATGACCCAGGACCAGACCACACGTGATGATGTCAAGGACACTATGGATACCTGGGTTCCTTCCAGATGCAGGGAAATAATCCCTCAGAGCCCCTCCCTGCCCCTGTACCCCGGTCCCACCCTTGGACATTTTGTAGGCCCCTGGTCAGCAGATTCTGGGGACTCGGGTCCCTGGGTGGATGTGGACTTGGGCAGTGGGAGCCTGAGGTGGCAGCAGCCAGACAGCAGCCCCAGGAGGACTGAAGAGAGTAGGTGTTTGAATCCTCCAGCTGGACTGCGACAGGGACACGGCCGCTAGCGGATCTACCAGATGAGCCACTGGGCAGTGACAAAAAGGGCGGCTCCCTGCTGCCCCAGAAGGCCAAGGCCAGGTGGACTGCTGAAGACAGATGTTAGGGAGACTGTCCTGAGCACTGGGCAGAAGTGAGACCTTGCCAGAATCCACAGTATATGGTCCTCGGAGGCAGGGCCCCGAGCTGTTTTGGATGAAGCTGTTGGGCTCAGGGAGGAGCACAGGCTGCCCCGGGGTCCAGATCTTGGGATGTGGTCAGTGGCCACCGTGGCCTCTGATGCACGTGTCCTGGTATTCTCGCTCGTGCAGTCCCCACCTGGAATTGGGACTGGCTCTGGGTCTTGCTTCACCAGCAGAATGTGGCAGAAGGGACGTGGTGTCACTTGTGGCCTGAAGGAGGCCTGGCAGCTTCTGGTGTGTGCCCCGGAGGAGCCCCCCATATGATGGGTAATGAAGTCAGCCCGGGGGAGGCCACGTGGAGGGAACCGCGACCACAGGCACGGCCAAGCTCTGGGCCTCCTGGAGTGGGTCCCTTGGCCCCAGTCGAGCCGCCCCACTTGAGGTCAAGGAGACCAGACAACCTGCAGTCCCGGCTCTTCCCTGGGAGAGACATTCGCTGCAATGACAAGATGGCTCCAAAGAAAAGTCACTTAGCTCACCTCTAAACGGCTCTTGCCTAAACCTCCCAAGGTTTTCTTGAAAAACACACGGAATAGGCCAAAAACAGAGAAGCCACAGTCCTAGCGTCCTGGGGACTCGGAGTTGATGTGAAGGCACATCCCAAATAAGTCGACACTCGTGGAAACGTGCACCGAGCGCCCTGGGGCGCCCCCACCCCATTCCCTGAACAGCTAGGAGGCACCCAACTGGGCCGCCAGGAGTCCCTTCCGGCCCTTTGGACACGCGGTGTCCTCGACACCTGATGTGGGAAGGCCAGCCTGGGAAGGCACAGCTGTTCTTAGGGAAAGGCTCGACCAGAACCCCCACCCCCCAAGGAACAGTGATACTTAGCCACACAACTGGGCAGGGACCCCAGGGAGTCACCTCCTTACTGCTGAAGCTGACCCATCAGAGGAAAGCAGCCGGACCCGCTGGCACAAATGACCCAGATGTGACCTACCAGCAGCAGGTGCTGCTCAGAGCTCCCCGTGGGAGCATCAACCCCCGTCCCCATCCCAGAGGCTCCCACCCACCTAGCTCTGCAGGCGCCACAGGCCCTGGCCCCAAGGGACGGCTGTCTGGATGATGCCCAACCCTTGGGGAGCAGTGCACATGCGCTCTGGAGAGTCCACACCTGGGCTGGGCTCCAGGGCCACTGTTCACTTGCTGTGCAGCCCCGGGGTACTTCCCAGGCCCTGAACCACTCTTCCTCATCTGTCTAGTGGAGTGACAAACATGATCCCCTACCCCGGGGTGGCCAGAAGCCCCAAGGAGAGGCTGGTGGAAGCACCTGGTCCTGGGCTTGGCCCATTAGGGACAGGGACACGCTGGCACCCTGCCGCAGGCTGCCACGATGGGGTGTCCCGACCCAAGGCTCCCACCAGGCTCCTGTGGCGGGGGCACCGGCCCAGAGTCCCCACCTGACAACTGTGTTGAGTCACCTGCGGAACCTTCTCTAAGCCAGGACAGTGCCTCCCGAGAGGACCGGGCCCCAGCTCAAGGCCAAGAGCCGCTCAGAGACCCCGGAACAACAAGCAGCTGCTGAGAACCTTCTGATTGTGCTGAAGCCAGCTGTGCGCTCAGCTCTAGAACCTCTACCACAGGACCACATTCTCTGGCAGATTACACAAAACAAGTGGCCCTTTCAGCTGGGAGCCATCCTTGGGACAGGGCAGTGCACACCCAGTCTCTGAGCTGTGCTCAGCCACGGGAGCTGAGACCACAGAGGTAGGGCCAAAAGTGCAGCAGGCCGGCAATGGAGAAACAGGATGTGACCAATTAAAGTCTGTTTATTTGTTTGTAATGAGACAAAACACTACAATCTGTTCAACACTGGGCTGGACACTGCAGTGATTGGGGGCAGGGAGGGAGGGGGCAGGGCAAGGCCTCTGAGCTCAATTATGAAAGTCCAAGGCAAAACCTTCCAGAAGACTCTGCCCTTACCCCTCGGGGCAGAAATAAAAATCATACGATCACCGTTGGTTCAGATTAGAGAGGACACTAAACTGGGCCTCAGCATGAAGCCAAGGTCAGTGCACAGGCGGGGGAATCTCACCCCGAGAGGCACCACCAGTCACGAGGTGGGGGAGGGGGGAGAGCGTGTCTCCTGCCTAGGGCTTCTCCTCGTCTCGAGGATCCCTCTCTCCTACCTCATGAGTGGAGGTGGTCCCAGACTGTGCAGTTCTGAGGGAAGGAAGCGTGACTGCCCCGGAGGCCCCCCGGCCTGGCTGTTCCTCATTCTCCTCTCAGGCCGGCGCGCTGCGGCCACACCGGGCCTGGCCCTGCTACCCCCTCTCCTCTGGAGAGGAGCTTTGGGGAGCAAGCAGCTTTGGGGAACGGGGGTGAGAGTGACACCAGAAGCAAGTGACGTTTGCGCGCACCTCCTGGCGCTGATAGCCTCTCCCGTCGCTGCCTCCAGGGGCTGAGGGACCACAAGGCACACGACAACCCCCAGCCCCGAAGGCCAGGTCCCTTTCGACAGACATCCTTTCGGAGCTGCAGCTGGTGGACTTGGGGGACTGGGGAGAAGACCCCCCAGGAACCTCCCTGGCACCTGTCCTCAGCCCAGCTCCGTGGGGCAGCCCCGTGCCTTCCGCGACAATATGAAGCCCCCCGCAGGATGCTGCCAGAGGGCCTGACCTCCCAGCTGAGCAGTGGGGAATTGTTGCATTATCTGACCTCTCGTGTCAGGGTCCGAGCCCCAGAGCTCTGTGCCTGGGGGAAAAGCCTCCCTGGCCCCGCCCACCGTGAGCCAGCCCTCCGTGGACAGGCAGGGGCTGCTCCCCGTACCCCGGGTTTCTGGGAGCCGGTGTTGGACAAGGGTCTGGCACTCCCTTTATCTCACGCCCTCGTTGTTCTGAGGCTCCTCTGTCTTCAGGGTCAAGTCTGTCCACAACACTTGGGTTCCTGCCGTCCATTAGTTCATTCCGGCTCTGGAGGAAGGAACTGGAAGGAATGGGCATCGGAGGGGAAGGGAGCAGCGGAAGGAACAGACCACAATGGATGCTGCCGCACCTCACCTGGCCAGCGGGGCCGGTGCACGCTCATGGGGGCAGGACCAGGACACAGGCAGAGGCGGCGGTTTCCACAGGTTACCAGAAAAGAAAGGAGGACTGGAAAAGCCTGTGGAAAAGAAGAGGGGAGCTGGGGTGAAGGGCTCCAGGGAAAGGCCCTGCTCAAGCCTGCACTGCCCTGGCCTGGGGCTCCCAGCTGCCCTTGGTCCCTGCACAGAGCAGGGCACCGATGAGGATTCAGCCTAGGTGGCCACGGCCCATGTGAATTGGCCCAAACCACCCAACTGCCCTGGGCTGTGTCCGTGGAAAGGGGTGGGTCTTGGGAGTCCCCATGACTCCTGGCTCTGTGGTCGGAGAGGCCAGCTCTCCTTAGCACACATGGCACTCAGGAGTGGCCGTGTATGAGCAGAGCCCCGGTCACGAGGCCCCGCCACCAGCTGCTGTTAGCGCGGGCCTGGAAGCACCGCCATGACACTGAAACACTGGATGCTCCTCAGAAGGGGAGCTGAGTGGTTGGGGGAGGGGTAGGAGGGGCCTGATCTGGTACCTTTTTAATTATTGGAACCACACGAACACATTCTCTTCTTGTAATCGGAGCTCAGAAGTGAAAAGACAGAAGTCCTGGCCAAGGGCTCAAGGACCCTGCTTTCCTTCCTGAAGTTTCTGAAAGTCAGTCAGACTACTTCAGCTCTTGCCACTACTCCCCAACATCCCTGTGCAGCAGGCGCCCATTCAGGCCCTTCTGTTTTTGTTGCGGAAAGAGCCACGGGCTTAATGTCCTGGCACCGCCATCCCCCCATCCCACCGGGTTCTGCTCCCCTGTCCCCCCGCCCCACGTGCTCCAGCTTACCTGTCCGAGACCAGGCATGCCCCACGACGCTCTGGTCCGAGCCCGCGTAGCACCGGGCCTGCAGCTGGGGCAGGCCGACGGGCCCGGCGAGCAGCCACCAGCTCTGTTGCAGAGGACGGAAGTCGGACGGCCAGGAAGGCGGGTTCTGCGGGGTGCCGAAGGGTGGGGCCTGGCGGAGGCCGCCCAGCCGGCGTCACATGGTCCGGCTATACTCGAGGCCACCCTTGGTGGAGATGCTGGACCACGGCAGGAAGCTGCAGAGCAGGCTGTGGGCCTGGCGGTAGAGCCTGTGCGGGATGGAGCAGGGGCTGAGGTTCGCTAGAGCGGAGCCCAGGTGCTGAATGTAGTCCGTGCAGCTCCGTTAAGGAAGATCGACTTGCCCTGTGTGCCCACGCACCCCTGGCGGCACGGTCAGCAGGCCCACGCGGTAAGCCGCAGGGCTGCATGCAGACGCCGCCATTCAGGAAGGAGGCCAAAAGCCCGCTAAGCCTCTGTAGGGTGCTGGAAAGCCTCGTGAGCCAGAGGGGCTCCACCGTGCAAAGAAATAAAGGGTGGCACTGGGCCGGAGAGCACCTCCTGGGTGAGCAGAGCTCAGGCATGTGGAAAGGGACGGGGCGCCAGGGGGAGAGGTCTGGCAGGAGAGTAAGTGTCCCAACTTGACCCCGTACTCAGGCATCGGAACGGCAGAGCCCTGGGACAAGGAGGGGGTCACGGTGCCGACCTCCCGGACAACTGCAAGAGGCCCACGTGCACATGCATGGGGAGCCTGCGGGCCAGGCTTCTCCCTCCTGTTTACGTCCCCGTAAAATGGATAAACCCTAGCCTCGCTCGCTTCATCAGCTTCTTGCTGGCTCACCCTCACACAGAGCATTCTGGAGCCACATCCTGAACTGTTAGGAAGCCTCCTGGCCTCCCAACTGCCCATTCTGCCCAGAGAGGGCGAAAGAGGAGGGAGCGGCGTGTGGGGGGTGAGGGGGGACACAGCTCTGGGTGACACACCTCAGGAAAGCGAGGTCTGAACCCCAGGGCTGCAAACAGCCAGCAATTCTTTTCACCTTGTTTGTTTCCTCCCCTGACTGACGGCACACGGGCCGGGCCCCCTGACGGCAGGGGACCCACTGTTGTGTTGACAGCTGCGTGCATCTCCTGTGTACCTGGAAAAGGAGGCTCCTAATCGGTATCTGTTGGAAGCATGGATCGTTGGCCAAGGGGGTTAAAACCCACACCTCGTGACGGGTGAAGTCCGAGAAACACTTGAGTACAACCAGATCTACCCACAGCACGTCCCGTGAGCTTGGCCTCCTGAGTCATGGGAAGACAACGGCGGCTCCATCTGGTGCATGGGCCCTGGCCCTGCGAGCCGCCCTTGTGGCTAGGAAGCCATATCCCTCACCCCTGAGAAGTAAAGGATATAGGATTGTCCAGGGAGGGTGGCCACCATTGATGTAGAGGACGTAGGTGAAGCCATCTTTGAGGACCCCTCGGATGGAGTAGTAATAGGGGAGATAGTGATGCTGCTTAAAGTCTCTGTTTTCGTAGAAGTTTATTGCTGTGTTGTTGGTGGTGAGGACGTGCAGGTAGATGGCTTTGCAGTGGTCCTGGGCGGTGGTTGATATGTGATCCTTTAAACTCTCGAGTAAGAGGGAACCTGCAGGAGAAGGGACGACAGTCACACACGGCAGGGCAGGAAGGGAGCAGGAGGCAGATGAGGAAGTGAGACTGCCAGAGATCTCTACAGATCTACAGAGATCTCTGCCATGGTATCCCAGATGGAACTCCCGCAACCGCTCTGTCAAAGCCCCCAGAATGCCACGGCCAGATGGGGCTCGTTAGCTGCAGACCATCAGGCATCCGGAACTGCAGATGGGGGTCAGGCAGTTCCCTCAGTGGGGCTGGGCCCATGGCGGAGACTCACTAACCTTCCAGAAATCACCAAGTGCGAACCTGAGTGGAGGGAAAAGGTAGAACGGACAGGCCTGAGTCACAAAGGGAGACTGCTGCCTGCGGGCTTGGGGCAGAGCAGGGGCTTGGAGCGGCACCTGGGGCACAGCCCCCTGCACATGAAGGGCATCTGGTACATGGCAGCTAGGACTGGCTGTCAATCGTTTTCTACTCTTAATCAGCAATACCTCATGACCTGACATAAACTGTGTGTGTGGTGACAGGTGCCCATTCCCCGACGAGGACATCTGGGAGTGTTGTGAATCTGATCGTTTGGGGGGCGCCTGACGGCTCAGTCGGTTGAGCTTCTGACTTGGGATCAGGTCATGATCTCGTGGTTCCTGAGTTTGAGCCCCGCATCAGGCTCTGCGCTGACATCGCACAGCGTGCTTGGGATTCTCTCTCCCTCTCTCTGCTGCCACCCCCCACCCCCGCACGCTCTGTCCCTCTCTCAAAATAAATAAATAAACTTTTTAAAAAAGGTCATATTTGGGAATGAAGCCATCACCCAGACGGCCTTTGCTGTTTGCACCTGGCAACTGGGTGCTAGGAGCAGGGGTCGAAGGCCAATGGGGTGGAGGGAGGTGGGGCCGGGGACCTGCTGGGAGGGGTGGGAGGCTGGAAGCCCACGCAGGACAGGGGGAAGAGCGGGACGAGGGACATTTACAGGCACGTCACCAGCACATGAGACATGACTGGACACGGTGGCTGGAGCACACGCCAAACACTGTGAGCACGGCTGTGCCTTACCGATGCCGTGCTTCCTGAACTCCTTGACCACTCCCAGACTCAGAATGTATGCGACCTGTGTGTCAACAGAGAAGTTGGAGGCTAGAATATCTCCATCCTGAAGAAAAAGTCAGAAAGAAAATCAGGTTAACGGCTGAGGGGCCTGGTCCTGGTGCTGGCACATCCCACGGGCCGACTCTCCCGCCACAACCCCTGTGGGGGTGCTGGGGTAGGAGGGGACAGAGCAAAGATGATGGACAGGCTCCCACCCCTCCCCCCCCCACACACACACAGAGACAAGAGGGTGCGAGGCTTTGCGGCGCAAATGGCTAAACTGAGGACACACACAAAAAGCCGCTCCTCTCAGGGACGTGTGGGGGTGGCAGGACCATAGGGTGTGAGGTTACAGCGGTAACAAGGGAACAACTGCGCGGTGTGGGCACGTACTGGGCACTTGGGACAAGACAGCCGGATGAGGTCTGAAAAGGTTTGTCTCAAGGACCTTACACTGCCCCCAGGTGGTCTCTGAGTAAAGGCGGTGGGGGCTCGAGTGCCCCCCCCCAGCACCCCGTGCGGCCCACACCGGGCAGAGTGACATGGCAGGCCAACCCATGCGTGCTCCTTGGTTCCGGGGATGGCATTTGGGGCCAGGAGAGTCATGAATCCGGCCACCGTGCAAGACGAACCAGAAGCAAAAAGCCCAGGAGGAAGCTGGGATAGAAAGTCACTCCTAACAGAAACTACCTTTGCCACAATCTAGTCACAAGCAAGATGGGGTCTGCTCGAGTGGGTCGGGTCTGTAAAAGGGAGCTGTCCCTCTTCTACTTTTAAAGAAGTAACCGAAGCTGAACAGACAGAACCAATGCAGGTTGTCAGCGGGTTCCTTCCTGTCCTTGGAGTAAATACGCATGTGGGAAACACAGCTCAGTCGCTAAGATGACCAAAATCATTAGGCACAATCTTGATCCAACGTGACGACGTGCAACAATGTATTTGTGGCTGTGGCCTCGCACTGTGCGTTCAGAGCAGAGCTTGCTGACACGGGGCCCACAGACCCCCCAGTTCTCAGATCGGGGAGGGGTCTGTGAAGCCGGATGAAAGGAAATTCTCCATGTTCCCTAACCTCTATCTGGAACTGACCGTGTCCTTCAACCAACCACGGCAGAGGTGGCAGTTCCGTGACACTGCTGCCAGTACAAGTCACAGATCTTTCCAGAGCCCCCGACAACTCCGGGGATTCTCAGGACATCACTTACACCCGCCCCCACTTTGAAATGACAGTTGTTAGGAGGCCTGCGGTAGGTCCTTCTTTTAACGCGTGGGTAACGGTGCCACGTACGCCCCCGAGGCTCATACTTGGTCTGGGCTCCCGGGAGAAAGGGCCACAGAGCAGGGCGTGTGCTTCGGTCACAAGCCCCAGCAGGCCTGGCCGGCGACAGGGACCACCAGCTCCTCACCACACATACTCACCTCCTTGTGTATCTTGGTCCTACTTTTTATTTCAGCTACTATCATTCCCACGATGGCGCCCCGGTAGGTGGCGGCGAGGGAAAAGAACTTCTTATTGGAGGTGATATCACGATACCATGAGTCTGGGTACCTGAGGGGGAGGACAAGGTCAGGTGAACACGCTGATGCTGGGCTTCTGGCTGCGGAACCACGGGGGACCCGGGGCCGCTCTGCCGACTGCCCCATGACTGAGAAGGAGCCTGTCTGTCCACCACTCCATCTACACCAAATGGTCTTCTTAAAGCAGGAATCTGTCTAGACGGCACTGGGGATTTCTGACAGGAAAAACGATTTTTCTTTTTTTTTTAATTTTTTTTTTCAACGTTTATTTATTTTTGGGACAGAGAGAGACAGAGCATGAACGGGGGAGGGGCAGAGAGAGAGGGAGACACAGAATCGGAAACAGGCTCCAGGCTCTGCGCCATCAGCCCAGAGCCCGACGCGGGGCTCGAACTCACGGACCGCGAGATCGTGACCTGGCTGAAGTCGGACGCTTAACCGACTGCGCCACCCAGGCGCCCCGAAAAATGATTTTTCTATCCTCACGTAAGAGATGAGAGGAAAAAAAACTCCCAATGACGTTCTCTCCACGAGAGCATGACGTGCAGGGGCAGCTGGAAGAGATGACCCTCAGACACTTGGGTCATTTCCAAGAATTCTACGAGACCCCTTCAAGACTGGAGGTGTGGGCCAAGTTCACAGCCAAGTGCATCTGGGTTCACCGCACCTCCCAGGTAGCGATGGGGACGAGCCCTCCAGGGCAGAGTGTGGCCAGGGTTGCCGGGGGCTGTTCACAAGACTCCCCGCCTGGGGGAGCAGGAAAGAGAACATTTTGTGCAAAGGCCCTGGGAGCAGTAATGAAAAGGCAGACTCAGCCACAGCCAGGAGACACAGTCGGGAGGGCTGATGGGGGTGTACATTCGTTTTTTAACTTGGGACAGACAGCAGGTAACCCTGAGATGCCTTTCTTGAGACCCAGAGCTGGAAAAGGGTGCCCTACCCTCGCGGTGACATAGCAGAGAGGCCACTGACCACCCACTGGCACGTTCGATGGGACCTGAGCATCGCCCACACCCCTCCTCAGGTCCTCCCCGCACCGTCATCTTCTGACCCCAGCGCGCTCGGCTGGTGTGGCAGCCAGGACACGGAGCTGCCACCACCACGCAGCCCATGGGACTGCAGCTCGCTTCACCGTCATTGGAACCTGAGGCCTCGGGCGCAGGAAGCTGTGAGGAGAGGCAGAGGCTCCAGCCCAGCACGGCTCCACCTGGTGCAGGGTCTGACCCGCGCAGGGGACCGCGGGGTGAAAGGACGGCACCCCCGGTGACCCCTGAAGCCGCTGCGCCCACACCCCGAGAAGGCTGACGCTCGCCCTTCCCCTCCCTCCCCGCGCGCGTGGCCGGTGACACAACCCATCAGAGGGTGGGACTCATGGAAATGCAAGATCTAGTTCGTTTTTAATTTTTAAAAGTTTTTTTTTTTTTTAAATGATAAATCCTTGCGATGAGAACTAAGGATTTACTGTCAGCACAGCTCCCCGCACAGTGCTCGCTGCGAGTTCACCCCTGGCACTTACCCAGCTCCCAGCCGGGAACCTGTAAAATACAAAGTTGCACCTATCTCTCCCACCGCAACCGCAGCACGAGCAGTTAGAGGAGCAGGACAGACAGACGGACAGACGAAGCTGCAGCTGCAACCACCTCCCCACAAACCACTGACAACACCCTGTGACGTGCTGTATGACCTCGCAGGCTTTTATCGTGTACAGGTCTTTAAACAGCAGGAGGATGGGCACAGTGCTGTCTCCTACTCTACTTTTCTCATCTGCCGGCTCATTTGAAAAACAAACACAAAAAAAGCCCTCATGGACCAACATACCTCTTCTCTTCCACAGGGTTTTCCCCGGCTGAATACTACAGTACTTGCAGGCCCAGAGCCCAACGTGTGCAGCCGAGGCCTCGCGTTACACTTAAGCTGCTTCTCCGTTTTCTGAATCGTCACCGGCACTGCGCTCAGCAGCTTTTCGGCTAAAGATTCTCCGTAAAGCCCAGGGCGGAACTCTCCGCACAAGGGACACGGTGAGGTGGAGGGAGCCTGACGGCAGGCAGGGCCCGAGGCCTAGCGACAGGCAACGTGACCCCGGGCCGCCACGGCGCTGCCAGGCCGTCCTGGCCTTCGCAGCAAGTCTTTGTGCGCGTCCCCCTGCCCGCTCCCCACCCCGACCCTCTGCAGCGGGGGGCGGCCGGCGCCGCTTGACTTACTCGATGGGGAACCAGTCGCCGCACAGATGCTTCACGGTGTCTATGTCATCGTGGCAGAGGAGGCGCAGGCTGACCTCGCTGAGGGCGCTGGACGGCACCACCTCTGTCATTCACACCTGCAGGGTGGGAGGCAGCGTCAGGAGGGCGGCTGCACCCCTTCACCGGCCAGCCCCACCTGTCACCTGTGAGGCAGCAAGATGGGAAAACTAGTCTCATCCCCCGTGGGCGGACGTCTCCTCGTAACCGCACCGAGCATTTCCGTCCCTCACAACAGTCCCAGCACAGGTGCCAGTTGCCCCCAGGTTGCAGACCAGGACCCGGAGCGTCCACACCTGACTGCTTCTCCCCAGTTCCTCTTGCCTGTCACTGCCACCCCCCCCCCCCCCAACCCCAGCCAGCCGTTGCTGAGTCTCCACCGCGGAGAGCTCAGGGGCTCACACCCGACTTCTCCTGTCCCTGGCCCCCTCTGGGGCTGCATGGCTAGGTTTCCAGGGGAAGTGGCGCTTGCTGGCTGAGCTGTTCCCCACCCCCCAACCCGCCCCAGCAGACAAAGACTGGGCAGGAAGAGAGCCCGTGAGACAGGCTGAAGTTCACATCAGGGGTCATGAGTTGCTAACAACTCTTTTTATTTTTGTAAGTATTTTATTTATTTTAAGAAAGTTTTAAGTTTATTTTGAGGGACAGCTCATGTTCCCGAGCAGGGGAGGGACAGAGAGAAAGGGAGAAAGAGAATCCCGAGTAGGCTCCACACTATCAGCACAGAGCCCGACGCAGGGATCCATCTCAGGACCTGTGAGATCATGACCTGAACCGAAATCAAGAGTCAGACACTTAACCGACTGAGCCATCGAGGTCACCCAGGTGCCCCTATTTATTTTACAAAGGATCTTCCATTCCTATTAAAAAAAAAATTGTTTTGTAAGTAACCTCCACACCCAATGTGACGCTTGAACTCACCACCCTGTGATTAAGACCTGAGCTGAGATCAAGAGTCAGATGCTTAACTGACGGAGCTACCCAGGCGCCTTTAAAAAAAATTTTTTTTTAAGTAATCTCCACACCCAACATGGCCCTTGAACTCACAACCCTGAGATGAAGAGTCA